GAAGAGAAGACAATTTAGGAGGCAATGATGGAGAAGGTCCAGCCGAGGCTAGAGCAGCAGTCACTTGTGTATAAGAAATCTTGCCTGGCGATGTAGAAGCCACACCGGTTGAAGAAGGCATAAGACATGGCCATGGGTAAGAATATTTACCCACCATGTCTAGCCAAGCCAAATGAGGCTAAGAATTCAAGAAAACTCTAGAGAAATCTTGAAGAAAGAAAATTAAGTGAATTTTGTATAAGTAGATACATTTTTTTTTAGGGTTTAGGGTTTACAATTCTTTTTATTTAATTTAATTTAAATAAAATATTTATTTATATTATAAACTTAATTAATTAAATTAATTAATTGTACAATATAATTTTTATTAAGATAACTTATTATCTTTACTAAATAATATTACACAATTTTCTTGTAAGTATGTGAGATTTTTAATTATAGGAAAGCAAAGTATTAAAAATTAAATGATTCAATGTCATTAAAAAAATAAATATGATGAATTAAAAAAATTCATAGATAAATGATATGTGAAAAAAAAGAGTAATATGATATTTAAAGTGATAAAATTCATTTAATTAGATCAAATATATACAATTATAAAGTTTATTGTTATAGATTATTGTAAATATATAGTACAAACACAAGGAACTAAAACCACATACATATAGGTATGATAGAAAATTTTACATATATATATTTTCAATTTCATGTGATGGAAAACCATTCTTAAAGGTCAAAGGACCTTTAACAATAGCAATGTCAAGAATGCAAAAGGAGTAAACTCAAGGCAAAGGTAAGGCATAAGCTTATGTTTAATTATAGGCTTATTTCATAATTCATTCTTCTTTTTTGTATATTTTTCTTATAAATATTTTCCTTTATTTTGACCTAGTATTTGTTAAGTCAGACAAAACAATTTCGAACAAAGTTTTGAATGAGACAAATATAATACATATTGTTATTTCTAAAACGTGTGTTAGTGTTTCAGAAGAACATAAGTAAATGCAAGTTGAAGAACAGAGCATGTGCCACTTCTTATGCTAGAACCAAGATAAAGGAAGGAAAGCTTCAAGCATTAGATGGAAAGGTAAAACGAAGCCAAGTCTAGCACAAGAAGGAAAATGATCAAGCTTCAGACGAAACGCATTCAAGAATGAGAAGAAGTCCATACAGACCATAGACGAGACTTCTTCAAGTACCAGACGAAGATTAGTCAAGGCAAAGCATAGCACGAGGATCATATGAAGCAGAGTCAAATGCAAGATGAAATACGACATGAGCACAAGACGATTTGGATCAAATAACAGACGTAGGTGTGTCAAGCACAACATAAAGCGCAACATAAGGATTCAGACGAAGGCTGGTCAAGAATCAAATGAAAGTCAACTACACATCAGACGAAGGACAGCACAGACTGTAAAGCATTCCAGACGAAAATGAAGTCTATTCATCTACAATATTGACCAGACCAAAGGAAGTCAAAGCATTGATGACAAATGCTCAAATGAAGATCAAGTCTTGAGATGCACATGGACTACCAAACATAGACGAAGACTGTCATGAAAGCATTTGAAGAATCAAGTTCAAGGGACAATTCTGGCATCGTCTAAAATCATACAAAAAGCTCTCAATATGATCGCGTGCTGAAAGGAAAAGAAGAAGAAAAAGAAATGCAAGCCCAAAAGTCAAAACATGCATGTGTTAGAAAAAGTACATTACTTTTTCAGATAAAGGCAACACCTCTACAACTATGATGACCAAAAAAGGACAAGAAATTCCTAGGTCACAATTAAAGTCAGACACTGTAGCTAACAAAAACTTAGAAGACTTCACGCAATGTCTATAAACAAGAAGCAACATTTAATGCAAAATGAAGTGCACTAAATGAGAAATCGAACTAGTCATGAACGACTACATTCTATTTCAACGGACACTTGCAACGGACATATTTTACAGAGGCTATAAATATGTCATGACTCTAAACCTAGAACAGCTGGCAAAGAGTGATTCTAAGCCCAAGAAGCAACGAAATCAAAGATAGAGCATACATAGTCAAATGTACAATAATGTATTTATCTCTGTAGACTAAGGAGTTCTAAGTGTAACTTAGGAACATAAACCTTAGTGAGTGTAGTAAATCTTTGTATCCTCTTTGTAAGAGTAAACCACACAGTCAAAATAAATTATCTATCATTTGTAAAGCCTGAAGAGGCTAAGGAAAGAATACTTGTATAAGCCTAGAGAGGCTTGTTAAAGAATCCTGATTGAGATCCTGAAGAGGTTGAACAAAGAACACTAGTGCTAATGAGTGAAGTTAGCAAGCTAGGTGTGGTTGATAATCCTAACTAAGAGCCTGAAGAGGCTAAACAAAGAATACTAGCGCTAATGAGTGAAGTTAGTGAACCAGGAGTGGTTGATAATACTTGGGAACCAGGAGTGGCTGAGAATACTCACTAAGAGCCTGAAGATGCTAAACAAAGAATACTAGCGCCAATGAGTGAAGTTAGCGAACTAGGAGTGGTTGATAATACTCGGGAACCAGGAGTGGTTGAGAATACTCTTTGAGAGACTGAAGAGGCTGAACAAAGAATACTAGCGCCAATGAGTGAAGTTGGCGAACCAGGAGTGATTGATAATACTCGAGAACCAGGAGTGGTTGAGAATACCCACTAAGAGCCTGAAGAGGCTGAACAAAGAATACTAGCGCTAACGAGTGAAGTTGGCGGGCTAGAAGTGGTCGACAATACTTGACAAACCAGAAGTGATGATAATACTTGTACTTAATTGAAAATCTAGTGAAACCCTTCATTTAAAGGAGACTGGACGTAGCTCAGTCTGAGCGGACCAATATAAAACTCTTTGCACTGTTTTACTCTTCTCAAACGCAAATTTATTTATTTGGTATTTCATACTGAAAATCTTATTCACTGATTATTTCCCACTACAACAACTTTCAGACAGAAAATATCCTTTGTTTAACTTATTATTGCAAGAAACACTCTCGTGCAGACGATAAAACTTGTAAACGCAAAACTCTTTTAAATGTTATATTAAAAGTAAACGTGAGATGCATCTTGAATTTGAAAATGTCAGTATGAAACACAAAAAAGCCTTTTATGCAAAAAGATTTCTTTAAACCTTCTCACACACACATATTCAACCCCCTTCTATATGTTTTTCCTCTAACTTTAGTATTTTGGGTCAAATAGTGTAGGTAATTTTGTCTTTGTATTATTTTTACTTAATGGTTTAATTAGTAGGTTAGGGAAGGTGTAACTATCTAAGTCTTGTTACATTTATTTGGACTTGGATGACCCAAACTCCTTTTGGCCTATTGGTATTGGATGTCCACTTGCTTATGCAAGTGGTTTGAACATCCAAACCAAGTCAAACTTGCCATCCCAGTTACAAATTAAGTCACATGGCTTTGATAGTAACATCTCAATAAACTTGTTACATGTAATCATTATTTAGGTAGTTGTAATGATTATGCTAGGTAATTGGGTTAACTTAACATAACCTAGGTTATTCTTAAACTAGGATTAACTTAGCTTGCTCATTAAGCTTCTAGATAATTAACTAGACTTTTAGACATTTAACTAGAGTTAATTAACTTAAGTACAAGATAGCTAATCATGGTTAATCTAAATTTCACCATAAACCAACTAAACTCTATACATCGTATCTTTGTACCCATTTTGTACTAAATTTGAGATTTATACATGATTTGGACAAAATTCCTCTTCAAATTCTGCCTCTCAAAGTTTGTTTCTCTCTTTGAAATTCTTCATTTTCTGTTATCCTCTCTTGAATGTGGTGAGAAATTGAAGAGATTTATCATTCTTCAATGAGTGTGGCACCATTAAGAAGTTGTTCTTCATCATCTTGTGTGGTGAAAATGGCTTCTAACATCAATGGAAACCATTGAAGAAGTTTGAGTTCAAGAAATAAAAGATCTATCTAAGGAGCTTGAAGGAGAAGTTACATCAATCTAGTCTCTCCTAAGATTTTCATCATCATGTGTTACAAAATGATCTTAATTACTAAAATAAAACAAACATAACAAAAATATGAGGTGGCACATATCAAGAAAAACTAAATTAAAATTTAAACTAATATACATGTTAATATAATATGAGACATTCTTATACCACATCAAATTGACTCTTATTAAAAAAAATTGACATCTTAACCACAAAAGTAAAATGTTGTATAAATAGATATATATTAAAAAAATTATTAAACTGGAAATAACATAAAATAAAAAGGTATAAACAAGCATGTATTAAACAAAAAATTAATATACACTTTAATACATTATACAAAAATGTCACAATGCATCAAATTTAACATGGTAGTTTTTGTTCTTGTGTTGTTGCTAATGATGATGATGATGATGATGATGATGATGATGATGATGATGATGATGATGATGATGATG